TTTTTGTGGGGCTTTTTTACTGAAAAATTTTCTCAGAGGCACTTCATTTGAAAACAGAATTACGTTTCATTATTCCGCTTGCCCATTCATATATGAAAAATAAACCGCTAAAGTGTTTTTAATCTAATGCCCTCTTGAAGTGTGCTTATGAATGCCAAGTTCACAATTAAAACCCTGACACATACTATTCACAGAAGATAGAAAAAGTCGTAAAAGAGTTCACTAAACTGTATCTTTCATTTCGGTTGACTCAATCTATTACTAAGTGCAAATGCTGTTCGTTGTGACAACAATAGCACATCTCGTGCGGCATCACCACCACTGCCGCAACAAAATGTGTTTGAAAACATGTCATTTGGAAAATCCCGAAATTAAATACCGCGCAGATCTCACCACATCATCAGTGTCAATTTCTTGGTTCACGGAAGCACAGAAGGTCAAATAAAATGTAATTCGTGCGTATAAGCATGGTGTGCTTCATATCAGCAACCTCTCAAAGAGTAATTTTGAGAAGGGGAGTAAGCGAGGGAGAGAGAAACAATATCGGAAGAAGAATAATTTAGATGCAAAAAGATGACAAGTAACAACAGATAAATTAGAAATAAGATGAAAAAAATGAACACACACAAATTGTATAGAATAGAAAAATTTATGAGTGATCACTGATCATTGCTGAACGATTTATTTTTATAGTAATTGTTTACATTGTTTTCGCTTCGTAATTGTTGTGCGCGCATGACGAACAGACAACAATAGCTATGGTGAACATTTTCCAAAGTAATGGAGCATCAAATCAGCGGTTTTTTTTTCTCTGTATGTGCGCGAGCGCTTGCGTTTATCATTACTTCGCTCATTTGCTCGTCACTGGGCGATTTTCGGTAACAGTGTGAATTACTAAAATTGATTAATCATAGCAACGCAACTAAATTGTTGCAAGCAAATTCAACACCGTACACCTTTTGAGTTCTCTCGCCAATTTTTATTGAAATATCAGACACAATTTGTGTGTACCAAAAATGATGCGCAAGTCAACAATTAATTGCTGAAAAATCAGAAACGTAAAGGGTTTTACGCGGCACGCGTGTATTGTTGTTGTTGCTGGGTTTTTTTTTTCTCTCCAGCGTACTTGAAACGATAGAACATGGCAAAGAAAATAATAGCGCAAAAGTAGAGGGGACAACGATACGCGCCGCGTTTTGGCTCTACAGCAAAAATCACTTCGCATAGACACGTTATATTTTGGCTTTCATTCTGGCCTCTTATTCATATATTCTATGAAAATGATTTATTTTTTGGGCTGGGCTGTGATTTTTATTTGCTATATAAGTTCGTAGCGAAGATCACATCAGTCACACTTGCTAAAAGTTATTCGTTGAGATCACATCAAACAGTATTGTTTTCGTCTATCGGAAAATTTCATCACATTCATCAAAATGAATCAGGTAAATAAGGTTGACGCCAAGTGATTTACGTGCCCAATGTGTGAATAGTAATCTTGTAAATTGAATTTAAAAAAAATCAAACGTTTTTGATCGTTCATAGAAAATTTGCATCGCTGTTGTGTTTGTTGCCTTGTGTTTGTGCTTGACCAGTGCAGTACCGACATACGGTGGACTGTGTACGTATAATTGTGCTGATCGTGATAAGAATATGTGATTTTTAATTTGATTTCTACATTTTGTAGCACTAGGTTTGGGTCAACAGTACTCAAGAGGCTACGGTGGCTTCGGCATTAACCCATATGCCGGTGCTATCGGTGGCATTGGATCGACTGATCCCGTTTACACGAATGGATTTGGTTCCGAATACGGTTCCAGATATGGTTCGTACAATGGAGCATATTCAACACCATACTACAACCGTTACGGTGGTTTTGGAGGAGGCATTGGCAATGGCTATGGAGGTGGCTATGGTGGATACGGCGGAGTCGGCGGAGTCGGAGGAGGTGGTTTTCAATATTAAACCCGGACCGATCGCCAATACAATAAGAAATAATCATCATTAATGAAATTCAATTTATTAAAATCATCAAAGTGTTCATTTCCAAATGATATGCATACCTTTCCATCGTATTTAATTTAATAAAGTGATCTTTTTCTTCTAAATTCAACCCAAACGGTGTTTTCTTATCTTTCTCAGTTGAATCGAACGTTTTTCATACGAAATTGTGATTGTTATTTGGTATCTAGGTATATTTGGAGCTTCGCAACAATTTAACCAATTACAATTGGATTCGGTGAGGCCTATTTCCAAGGTGATGGTGGATAATGTTAATGCAATCAGTCAATTCAAAAAATGAGAGAAAGAGACAGAGAGAGAGAGAGAGAGAGAGAGAGAGAGAGAAAGAAACACAGATACATACAAAACGAGATACACTTTAAATAATAATAATGGTTTCACATGAGTTGCGGAATTTGCATTATGTACACCATAGTTATTAAATGCACAAATAAAGAACTATTGAAAATATGAATAATACACCATGTGATACAACAGCATTAGATACATATTCACATAGTAGAATGTTATTCTGAGCAACATTATTAATATTACAAAAAGAGAAGAAAAAATGTTACCCCAAAAATGAAATGAACAATTGCAGTATTCATAAAGAGTTATTTCTTTTCTGCGCTGAGGGTCAAGCGAATCTTGTCAAGCTGTTGCTGGATAAGGGCGCTGATTCAAGTGTCGTTGATAAGAATGGATATGGTATGATGGTATGCACCGATTCCGATGACATTTTTGACATGCTGTGTGAGTACAGAAACAAAGCGATTGAACGGGCTGTTCATGAAAATTTGACCGCTTTCATACCGTGAGTAATTTGACAGATAAAATTCGATTTACATGACATTGACTTCAATAACACTCTGATTGGCTCATATTGATTTGACGAATTTTTCTTTTGACTTCATTGCAGTGGTATCGAATGAACCGAAGCCCTCGATTTCGTCTGCCAACCGACCAGAAGTTGAGAGACGCAACGGCGTGCCTAAACGGTGTGCGATTAACAACGACTATCCAATAATTCGACGAAAACCTGCTAAAGGACCATAAACATGCATCTGAAGATGGTTTGAACTACTATATAACTGCTTCATTGGACAATGAGGTTTGTTTTTTCTGTGAATTCTCTATTTCAACCACAAGAATATGCCCTTGAACTCGCGTTTCTCTTCTATTTCAGAGAACAACACGAAAGTTTGTTATTAGTAATGGATAGGTAACTATAATTAGTAGATTAGAATTACTACTTATTTTTAAATTTCATTCACCTGATTCATAATAATCATCAACTAAATTGCGTCGAGAATAAGAAAAAAGAATCACTGCACCCTCCGTTAACCCTTTGACGACCAATGGGACACATATGTCCCATTTTGTTTTTCATCTGTAATAACTACATTTTTTAACCAATTTTAGTAAAATTGGTTTCGTTTGAAAGAGAATTAATGTAGCTATCAGAAAGTACCATAACATTGGATATTTATTGTAAACGCGATTGGATAGAACACTCTAAAGTCAAAAAATCTTAACTTTTTTTTCAACTTTCGCCAAATGCTATATAATTTTAACGGTGGAACTTTTAAAGCTGAATATTTGGAATAATGTGCGAAATGTCCATTACTTTCCAAAAATCATCGACTTTATTTAGAAAAAACGTTTTTTCCACTTTTTATTGCGTTTGGCGCGATGGGACATATGTGTCCCATTGGTCGGTAAAAGTAAATAAATACCCCGTATTTCCCTGTATTTTGGCCATTATTCGCGAATTTTCAAACACAAAAATTTACAAAAATATCATTAAATTCGTGATTAAATGGGCACAACAAAGCACAATTCAAACCATTTTCGGTTCAAAACAATTCTGAATATTTTAAAAACGAAAAAGATTTTACACGTAGTTCTTATGGGAGACATATTTTTTTCCACACAAAGGTAGTTACCGTTACCGACCAATGGGACATACAGTTACTCACAAAATTGTTCGTACACCTTGCTTTTCCGAACAA